GTGATGCAGACACCTCCAAGCGGCTTGTATGACCTCCCAGGTTTGGTTGGCTGGCTCCTGGTGACCTTCCACGGTGGCAGAAGCCTTGTCCTTGCTGACCCAAGGAGGGCAGCCACTTGGAGCATCCACAAAGGGTTCATAATGTAGTCTGAAACATACAAACAATAAACTCCTCAGGGTCTTCAGTACCCTGGGTGTCTGGTAAGAACTTAAGATTTTTGGCTGGGACCCATATACGGGTTGACTCACTGAGGGGGAAGACACAACCAAACCCTCAACCCATAGTTAGCAATGGGTCAGGGCCCCTCCACTGGCCTGATAAGGGGTCTTTCCACGGCACTTGGACTTCCGGGCGCAGTGGTTGAGCTCACCAGTGTTTCTGGAAGGCAGACAGGGGTTCATTTTTGGAAAAATTTAGGATGTTTAAAGTTAGGAGTGCCTGTCCCAACTGTTGATAAGGGCTGGTGACTCCCCTTTTTGTTTTAATAATTGAGTTTTTAGGCATTGGTGATGCCGTTCAACAATGGCTTGTCCTTGGGGATTATAGGGAATTCCTGTAATATGTTTAATGTTCCATTGTATTAAGAATTCTTGTAAGGCTTTGCTAGAAAAACAAGGCCCATTATCTGTTTTAATTTGTGCTGGCAGCCCTAAGGTGGCAAAACACTGCAGCAGGTGATTTTTTGCATGCTTGGCAGCTTAACCTGCGTGTGCTGTGGCCCAACACGCATGTGAATAGGTGTCAACAGACTCAAAAACATATTTGAGTTTCCCAAAAGGCAGAAAGTGAGTTACATCAGTTTGCCACAGCACATTAGGCTTCAGTCCCCTAGGATTGGCCCCTGGCCATTGTAAGGGGGGTACTTGCAGATAAGGAAGGCATGACTTGCATGTGTGTACAATCGTTTTTAGCTGTGAAATAGGTATATTTGGAAACCTGGCATGTAGCCCTCACCAGTTTACATGAGTTAAAGTGTGCAGTTGGCTGGCACTATCTATTGTATATATTTTAGGGCCTTGAGAGGGAAGTGTCTGCCTGGGCATTTCCAGTGGTTAGAAATCCTGGCATTCCTTGATGACCCCGAAGGTGTTGAACAAAAATAGGTTCATTGCAGCCTTGTAAGGTACTCCTTACTTGTGTCATAAGGGAGGAGATGGGATTACAATCTAAGCGAATGTGGGCTCCTGGAAGCCCAGGGAGAAGATTGGCCGCATATAAGCTGTCTGTAAAAAGGTTAATGGGGTCTGGCTCTTTTTGCAGGGCAAGGAGTATAGCGAGCAGCTCTTTGTATTGTGCTGACCCATCATAGGGGTGAAAATGAGTAGCGGGGGCCACCTGTGATATGGTGCATGGGGGGTTGTAAATAATTACAGCAGCCCCTGATTAGCCACCATCCATGAAGACATTGTAGGCATCTACCAGGGGTGTGGCGACAAAAAGCTCTGGGTTGGTCCATGACAGCTCTTTGAAGGTGGAGACCCATTTATTGTTGCCATATTGGCAAACACCAACCCCGAGATACCCTTCTAGAGCCAGTGCCAGCTGGTTTTGATATTCAGCTGACCATGTAAAATCTGCCAAGCGGAAGGGGACGACAATTTTCTGTGGTTCCTTTGCAAAACATCTTAGTGAGCATTCCCTTCCTTTCATTATTAGGTCAGCAGCCTGGTTCAGAGTGGTGTACACCTGGGAGGTCCCTCCTAGGGATAAGTGTACCCATTGGAGTGGCTCCCCCCTTTGGGTTAGGGCAGCCATGTATGTGGTGTTAATGGCTATGAGCCATAACTCTATAGGGGACTCAGGGTCATAGCGTTTCAACTGGGCACTGTTTAGATCTTGGAGTGACTTTAAAAGCTGTCAGCACTCAGGTAGGAGCATGAAGGGGGTGCTGGGGTCAGAGGTGTGCAACAGGGCAAACAGGGGAACGAGCTGGCCAGTGGAAAGGGGGATCCATGAGCATAGCCAATTTATTTTGCCTAGAAGCTTTTGTAATTGAGGGAGAGTATACGAGTTTGAGATGGTTAGCTGAGGCTTTAATGGGCTAGCCTTTTCTAAAGATAAAAGTGTGCCCAGAATTTTAAATGGGGGTATGGTCTGGACCTTATCAGCTGACACCTGTAACCCCCGTTTAGTCAAGCAGGAGAGAGTTAGGCTGAGCACATGAGATAAGTCCATGGGCGTTGGTGCCCCAGGAATTATGTCATCCATGTAAAGATAAAGAACTACATGTGGCAGCTGATTTACAGTATTAAACAACTGAGAGACAAACATTTGGCAAAATGAGGGACTATTAGCTATGCCTTAGGGAAGCACCACCCACTCAAACCGCCGATGGGACACTGAAAGTTTACGGAGGGGATAGAAAAGGCAAACTTTTCACAATCATTCAGTGCAAGTGGAATGGAGAAAAAGCAGTCCTTGATATCTATGGTTACTAAGTATAAGTTGCTTGGTATAGTGGGGGTCCATGGCAGTCCTCTCTGTGGCGTGCCCTGAAGGATCATTCTTTTATTGACCTCTCTAAGGTCTTGTAGCATTCTCCACTTCCCAGAGGCCTTTTTAATTACAAATACTGGGGTATTCCAGGGGCTAGTGGATGGGCGAATATGCCCTGCTTGGAGCTGCTCATCGACAATTTGTTCTAGGGCCTGCAATTTATTATCAGGAAGTGGCCACTGCTCTACCCAAATTGAGGGCCTATTTACCCAATGAATGGGGGGCACCAGGGGAGCTGTGGCTTCTAGGATTGGGGGTGACCGGCCATCTGTTTATGAGGAGTTTCCGGGAATTTGACCCTGGGGAGAGGCAGATGGTTTCTTAGAACAACTTGTTGTAGGGCCTGCAATTTATTATCAGGAAGTGGCCACTGCTCTACCCAAATTGAGGGCCTATTTACCCAATGAATGGGGGGCACCAGGGGAGCTGTGGCTTCTAGGATTGGGGGTGACCGGCCATCTGTTTATGAGGAGTTTCCGGGAATTTGACCCTGGGGAGAGGCAGATGGTTTCTTAGGTCCCGAAAAGTGGGGTCCCCCCTGTAGTTTGGGAAAAAGGGGAGATTAAACTGGTACTGATACTCCTCCTCATCTAGGATATCTTCATAAAGGGCCTTATGGTCAGTGGTAATGAAAGCGTCTGCTTGGCGTAGAACGTCTTGGCCTAACAGGTTGGCTGCCAATCCAGCAGCAATGAGGTTTTACTTCCCCTTTTGTGCCATCTGCATCTTCCCAGTGAAGGATTTCATGGGTTTCCCACGTTGGGGTTTTTCCCCCTAACCCCCAAATTTTGGGGCCTGGAACTAACTTGCAGCTTGAAGGGACTTCTTCCCATCTAAGGATTGTTCGATCCGTCCCCGTGTCAACAAGGCATCGGAAATCTTTGCCTTGAATTTTAAGATTCATTTTTGGTCTTAAACCAGGGACAATAGGTATAGTCCAATGAGCCTTGGGTACTGGCCACCTGCAAGGGCATGGAGGCGCTGGCTTTGTATCCCCTTGGGGTGACGGGGCTGGGGATTGCCCCTCCTCTAGTTTAAAGGCTTTCCGTCCTTGTCTAACATAGACCGGCACTCACGCTTCCAATGAAGACCCTTACTGCACCTACAGCATGGTGTAGAAGGAAGGTTTTTATTTTTCCAGTTGGGACAGTCCCTTTTGAAATGACCTTGTTCCCCACAGCCATAACATTGACCCCTATGGCAGAGTTGGCTGGGTCTCTCTTTAGGGCTCCTGACACTAAGAGCCTGGGTCATAGCACCTGCAAGGGTTTCCGCTTGAGCTTGTAGAGTGGAAGTTAAGGCCCTGGTTTGTTGTTGGTAGCTTCCAACATCTCTACTGGCAATGACCCACTTTTCCATAGAACGATCTTTGAGCCCAGCACAGGCAAGCTTGTGGTCGGCAGTCATGCCGTCCCACACTAGCATTTTTACAAACTGGTCCCGGAGATGACCTGGGGGAAACTTTCTCTGTATGCTCTGTTCCACCCGAACTATGAAAGATGTAAGGTCCTCAGAGGGTCGCTGGGTGACCCTGGCCATTGCAGGCTCACTGGGCCCTTCAGGTAACTTTTTCCATGTGGCTAATGCTGTTGCCCTAACCTGGTCCTGGTAGGGGGCTGGGATAGCAGCCTGTTGGATTCCAGTACTAAATTGATCTGCTGTTCCAGACAGCATGCCGAAGCTGATAGGGATGGGTGGGTTGGCTGCTTGATTTATCTCTGCCTGCACATGGCACTCTTTCTTAAAGAAGGCGCAGAATTTGATAAACAGATTTGGAGGGAGGACAGCCTTACAGAGCATTTACCAATCTTGGGTCGTGCAGGGTTGGTGTGCTAAGCCCTGGAGGATGGTTTCTGCCCATGGGGAATTGGGCCCATCCTCTGTGACAGCCTTTTTCAGCTCTTTAAGTTCATGAGCTTCCCAAGGGTACCAAGCGGCCAGCCTATTTCCACCGGGGGCAATGTTGACCGGATAGGCCTGAAGGGCCACTTCCCCCCATGGGCTGTGGATGGCTGGGGTTTCCCAGTGAGCCATAATAGGATAAGCCTGTGGCTCTGCCAGGGATGTTTTTAAAGGGGGGCTAGCCTCCTCCACTCATTCAGGTGCTGCTTTCTCTCCTTTGGCTAAAGTTTGGTGGGGTGACAGGGTAGGGGCATAGGTATCACTCAGTGGCTCAGGGCCTTGCATTGGCAGCTTTCTTTCTTTTTTTTTCTCCTCATCGAACTGTGCCCAATCCCTTTCTAACCCTTCCTGATGCTTGGGATGGAAGTAAAGCTTTAGGGCAGAGATGGTTGGTTAGAACCCTAAGGGGGGGTCTAGCCCGTGACTAATCTCATTCTTTCTGGCCAGGGTCTGAACCCGGTCCCAAGTCTCATATGAGAACAAGTAGGACTAAGGTGCCCAAGGGGCTACCTGCACCACATGACACCAGGCATTGGTGGCCGTGGAGTCAGATATTTCTAGGCCTCTGCTTTTTAACATGTACTTTAGAGCCTTGCAAGCTGTCTCATCACTCTTTCCACACACGCCTCCCATGTTGCCCAATGAGGAAGGGACAAAGGGAGCAACAGGGCAGAGAAGTGCAGGGACATCCCCCTGTTATGGTACTCCCCCTGACACGCAGGCGGATTGCTTCATGGAGACTCCCGTGGTCACAGGGGCCACTTCGTTAGTTGCTCCCCCTTCGTTAACCTTCTTTCAGGACTGAGCATCTGGGGGCCTCACTCGCTCGGCTTTCACCCACAAGTTTTAAAAATGCCTCACACAGGGCACCACTCTTTTGGGACCACCGGCCGACCCGAACAGCCCTAGCCTCTTCCTTTTGGTGGGCAAGTGAATGGCCCCGATTCCTCTTTCCCTCCTGTCCCCTTTGGAAGGAGATGGGGGAAGAGAGCCATGAACAGAGGTGAGCACACCGCCGGCCCCAACCAGCCCGTTTAAAGGACACTCAGACAAGGCAGCGGTTCTGTCAAGAAGTTCCGTTTATTATCACACAAGCACTTGCTTTTAAAGGCAAATGGGGAAGGGAGGTTTTTTACATAATCTTATCAGCTTAAAGGTCAAGGGCATGCGTCCTGTCTCAAGCCTAGCTATTGAAACCACACAGTGTTCACGAGCGCGGAAGCGCATATTTGGCCAATAAGGGCTAAGGCAAGGTCCCCGCAGACACCCCCATCCTATTTCCTCCCGGTGCCTTCTTAGGCTGCCACATTAATACGCCCTTGTGGGTCCATAATGGCGCCACTTGTAATGTCACTTAAGGTGGTGTTAGTTTTTAAGGCCTGACACCAGGTCAATATGGTAAATTCTTTTTGATAAGTAGTAAGGGGAGTAATAGCAGAGGCTGAGAGGTCAGTTTTGAAACTATTGTGTTAGATACATCTGTTTTTTTTTCCCTCTTCTATAACTCTCATGTCAAACCAAAAGATAGGAGTTTTGAACAGTATCTATCTTTTGTAATAAAATACATATCAGAAAAACTCTGCTATTTTTGTATTCCTCATGCTCCCTCAGTGAAGTAAAGCCTTGTGTTTTAGAGAGTAAAACAATGTGTAAGCACTGTTTTCAAGTTGCTGTAGAAGCACCACCCTGATAAATGTACCTCCCTTGGAATGCAATGAAGAAGAAAATGTTTTCTGGTTGACATCACAGCACCCCAAAACACAGCAGGAAAAGATCACATCATGAATGATCAGTGATATTTTGACAGAACTTCCCCAAAATTTCTAGGAGTAGGAGTAAGTGGCTATATTTCTTTGATGTGTTTTTATAGTTAGATATTGACAAAACCAAAAACACATAGCATTTACCCATGGGAAATTAAGGCATATGTCCATGTAAATGTACATGCATGTTTATAACATCTTTATTTGTGATAAATTAAAACAGGGAAGCAACCCACATTTCTATCAGGAAGTGAAAGGATAAAAATCATTTGGTTTTATGGCATTTGCATACAATGAAATACTTCTCAACAGTAAAAAAGGAGCTATTAATACAAAAATCACATGGATGTACCTATAAATAATTATCAATAATGGCAGAACTGAGACAAAAAAGACTAATAAAATTTCAGAAAATGAAAACTAATCTATACTGACAGAAAGAGATCATTGTCTAGAGATGAGGAATATCAGGGAAGAGAACAAAGGAAGGATTTCAAAGGATCAGAAGGAAACTTTGGAGCCGATTGATACGTTTCTTATCTTAATTGTAGTGATGGTTTCACAGCTGAACTAATATACCAAAAACTGTCAGATTTTCACTTTAAAGCAGTGTAGTTTGCGTTATGTTAGTTACACTTTTTAGGGCTCATAGAAAAATGATGTTAATAGCAACCAAAAAAGAAAGAAAGAAAAAAAAGAAAAAAGCTATCATGTTACTCTGCTTTCTCCCACTAGGACTCTTGTGTTCTGTTTATTCCTGGTTCTGAATCAGATGATATTTGAAAAATATGGGTATATGATTGGATGTGTGGTATTTAAGAAAGAAAATTCAAAAGCCCTCTCATGCTGCCTCAGATCTGCTTCTGATCTGAGTGGAGAGGTGTTGGGAAAATAGAATAGTTTAATCAGGCCCCCTTGCCTTGGGTCCAGTAGGGTGTGGTGCAGCACATTCTTTGTAAACAACCTGTGAATGTGGGTGGAGTTAGTGAACATGCACAACAACATATCTTTTTGGTTTTGTTGCTATTCTTGTGTGTTCTTCAGAGTTGTATGGAGCAGAAGCCCTGAACTGCTGGCCAGCAGAGAGCTCATTTCTAAAAATAGAGCATGTTTACTTTGCTGGCAGCTGCTCAGGTTTTCCTTGGACATTGCCGGTAGCAGTTGAATTTCTGAGTTTCTCTTTGGAATGCCTAGCTCCTAGATGTGTGTGTGCAGAAATAAAGACTACTCTTTCTTCAACCAAGGCTCCAAGGACCTTTTTTCTGGTTACCTAGCTCATTGACCTGCATGTGAAGGGTTTGTGACTCAATCTGGACAAGGGGCTTGAGGGGTCTATGAGCCGCAGACCCAGCCCTAGCTCTACAAGGAGTAAGAGGCAACAACATTTGCTTAGATAATAGCCAGATGTGTACGAGCAGCATCAGTAATAACAACAAAATATAAATTCCAGATCCCATACAGAAACCTCACATCTTTCCCTAATACCACACAACATAAGTTTGTGCTTGGTCCTGAATAAAAAAGACAAGGTGAAAGGTGGATCATGGCAACATATTTTTGAAGGCAAAAAAAGAGAGTGTTTAAGGAGGGAGTGACTAAGTTGTGAAAAAAATAGCTTTCAATTATCTGTTGATTTTTAGTTCCACATCGGCCATTGATGATCTCAGGAAGAAAACAACTTTGAAAGAGGTAAGAGCATGAGCCAGATTGAAGTTATGTATAAAACAGCAGTTAAAAAACCAAAGAAATCAGTAAAAGCAATACATTGGAGAAATTTGGCCATGAAAGACAGGAGGAAGACAGTGTGATAGCAAGAGAAAAAGGACAATATTATTTATTATTATTGGTCACTATGCTTTTTAAGACAGGAGAGCTACGAGCCTGTTTAACAGCTAGTGTGAAAGAGCCAGTTAACACAAAGACTTTCTTTCCCACATATTGGAAATAGAACAGTATAACCTTAATTTAAATTTTTAAATTAAAATATTAATTAAAAAACTATGAGTGTCTCATGGTAGAACAATTGCAGATAGAACGTTTCATATTAAGACCTGGTGCTTATAATGTTTGATTTGTGATAACAATTCATTGTAATGTCATTTTAAAACATTTTTTATGAGAGTTTAAATTCATTCACCACTTATAACAATATTAAGATCTTTGTAATAAAAATCATAGTAATATGACTAATAGTAGTTAATATATTTAGTGCTTACCATTTGTTTGATATGTTTGAAAATTTATATATGTATTACCTCATTTAATTTTTATGACATCTCTCTGAAAGATCCCCATTATAAGTGCTGAAAAATTTAAATATGGAGACATTAAGTAATTTCTTAAGGTACATTGGGTACAAAGGAGTGGAGATGGAATTTGAAGTCAAGATGTCTCACTACTAACATTTTAAATATTTTTCCTTTCCTCTTATTGTTTTCTGCTCTTTCCTCTAGATAAATTTCAGGGTTATGGATGATAAAAATGTGTTAAGAAACATTGTGAGAATATCTAAATTACCATGAGCAGATTGTTGGTAGAGATATAAATGTTAAAGTCACTGCTGCTGAGGTCTCAGAATGAAATGAAGTGTGTGCTACTGGAGCATGAAAGAAAGGGGATCCTCATTATAAAGTGGCACAGAAAGTTTAGCAGAATTATGTCCTGCAGTTAAAGTTTAGCAGAATTATACCCTGCAGCTGCATGGAAAGCAAAACTTGTACATGGTAGACTTGGATATTTAGCTGAGGAAGTTTCTAAGCAGTGTGTTGAAATCTCTTGCTACTTACATTAAATGTGAAAAGAAAAAAGAAGGTTGAAGCAAGAATTGTTAAATGAAAAGGAGTCAGGGCTTGATGATTTTGGAAATTCTTTATA